TGTTAGATGCTATTGAGTTGAGCATGACTCATAGTGACCCTATGGATAGCAGATCGGAATCCTGTCCGATCCTGTGCCATTCTCATCCTCTCTGACACACCCGAGCCCATTGCTGCAGTCACTGTGTTAATCCATTTTATGGAAGGTCTTCCTCTCCTTTGCTGATCCTTCACCTTCCCAAGTATGACGTCCCTCTCCAAGGAATAACCTCTCCTAGCAATATGCCCAAAGTATGTGAGTTTCATCATCCTTGCCTCCAAGGAGCATTCTAGCTGCACCTTCTCCAAGGCATATCTATTTGTTCTTTGGGCAGTCCGTGGGATATTAAGCACTGTTCTCCAACACCATAACTCAAAAGCATCAATTCTTTTCTGTCATCCTTACTCATTGCCCGGTTCTCCTATGCATAACAAGTGATTGAAAAGACCATGATCTGAATCAGGGGCACCAAAGTCTTCAAACTGGCATCATTGTTCTTCAATAATTTGGGGAGGGTCCTGACTACATAGACATCTCGTAATACTCAGAGGTGCCCTAAGGGAACACTTGTACCCCAAAGATGACTCTTCTTTACCTTCACTGCATACGAGCACCTCAACGTCTGCTCAGCAACCAGATCCATCTCCTCAGCCGGTGCGGCAGGCTTGCTCTTTGTCTACTGATTGAAAGCATGAGGATCCCAAAGCCTCAAGCGGTCGTCTCCAATTCCACTGCCTCCTGGTGGAAGCATTCCTCCTTGGGAACTAAGAGCTCTTGATCAGCTGAGCACAAAGTCACAGGACAGAAAGCAAAACTTTTTCAAGTGGGTCACCACGAGCGATAGTGAGAGGGGCTACTCTCACTCCACCCCGTGGTTCTGAGCCCAAGAATCCTGGCTGTGGGAGAAACATGGCCAATTCTGAATGCCGAGTTAGAGTACGCACATCATCATCCTGGAGGACCAGCCCCCTGAAGCACTATTGCCTTCCTGTCACTGCCATGGGTTTAAAAGGCCATGCCACCACTCTATCAAGGCATCTCCTTTAAGATGACAGGAGCACAGTGAGACATGGATCCCAGGAGTGTGGCCTCAAGCTGCATTTAATGGCTGTGAAGCAAGTCCCTGGATGTCAGGCAGCATTGTGTAGAACATCAGGCTGGTGGGTGAGGCTTTCTGGGTGTTACTAAGGGTCAGTTCCTATTGGTAAAAAACAACATTCCAACAAGAAGGGAGCATGTGGGGAGCTCTGGTGGCCTAGTGGCAAGAAGCTGCAACTACAATCCCAGAGGTGCACGGTTCGAATCCACCAGATGCTCTGCTGGAGAAGGAGGGGCAATCTCCTCCTGTACCAGTCAGATCTGATTTGACGGTACACGCACACAAAAAATAATAAAAAAAAAAGAAGGGAGCATGTGTGATTGAGTGGTAAGGATGTGTGCTGCCAGTCAGAGGTACATAGTTTGAATCCACCAGTTGCTCTGCAGCAGAAAAGATGGGGAATCTGCCATTTATTGCCCCAGAAGACCAGTCAGAGGTACATAGTTTGAATCCACCAGTTGCTCTGCAGCAGAAAAGATGGGGAATCTGCCATTTATTGCCCCAGAAGACCTGCTGGAGGGTCAGTCATGAATCAGTTCTGAGTTGATGATATACAACAACATTCCAGTAGAACAAAACCCTGTTCAAAATTGAGGTTATCCAATATAGCGGTCCTGTCACTAGGTTATTAGCTGATCAGCCCCAGAAGAGTACCATACTGGGAACCAGATGGTCTCTGCTGCTTGGAGAATGGCCTTGGTGGGGGAAGCCATGCAGTTAAGCCCATGTATGTGTGTGTACCTATATACACATGTGGACACACATACAAATATGTGCACATACACAGTGGTGATATGAATACACATGCATATGGTGACCATGCAAATACACACACGGAAGGGATGTGGATACACACACATGGTGGGGATATGAATATACACACATATGGTGGGGATATGAATATACACATATAAAGTGATCATGCAAATACACATCCAGTGGTGATATGAATAAACACACAGTGACCATGCAAGTACACACACATGGTAGAGATATGAATATGCACACGTACAATTATCAAATAGATACACACGTGGTGGTGCTATGAATACATACACATACAGTGACCACACACACACACGGTGGTGATATGAATATACACACATATGGTGATTATACAAACACGGTGGTGATATGAATATACACACACGGTGGTGCTGTGAATATACACAGATATGGTGATCATGCAAATACATATACAGTGACTATATGAATATACACATATACAGTGATCTTACAAACACATGTGGTGGTGATATGAATATACACACATACAGGGATCATGTAGACACTCAGAGTGTCACATGTATCATGTGTTACACAAGTATGTAAATTGGTTTTTCTAGCCATTATATTAGCCCCCATTGGAGGCATGGTCTCAAGCTACCTTAACCGTGAACACATAGTCTTGCAAATCATCAACATCTATGAGACCAAGATAAGAAATCTCTTTCCATACTTTAAGAAATGGTGGTGGAAAGAGGGTGAAGAGGCTGTGGCAGATTGTGAAGAACTGTGGTAAGGCGTAACCAGAGGAACCTTGAGTATGGAGCCACAGTTAAAGGTTTGCTTGCTGGACAGTTATAGAAAAAGCTGACTTGTAACTTCTCTGAGATAAAGTTTGCTGGATAATTGAGGAAACCAGAGGTGCATTTGTGCTGCTGAACTGAACTGGGACTTTCACTTGTTGACTGAGAAGTTGTCTGAACTAATTGAGGAGTTTGTGTCTTGTCAATCTGACTTGGGACTGCTGGACTAAACCTGGGCTTGCCTTGTGTGATATTCTTTGCCTCCCCCACGTTGCATCTGCTCCTTTTGCAACTGGGTCAGAAGTAGTGAGATTTGTTGCTTCATGTCGCTGTTTGCCAGCAACTTAACAATGACACCCTGATGTAAGTAAGCATCATGGAGATACAACACTCTGGGAGAGGATCAGAGAGTCAATACAGCTCAATTTTATTGGGGAGTGCAGTGCACTTATATACAAGGAAGTAAACAGGAAGAAAGGATAGGGTGGGCTTACAGACGTGGGACATGTGGAGAACCTCAGCCTCGTGTGGACCACTCCCAGCTCAAAAGGTGCAGCAGCCGTCTTCCCAGGTGGCGAGCTTTCTCAAGTTGGTACAGCCAAGCACAGGATCTTTCTCTACCCCATATTCAAGGCCATTGGGAGGCTTGTACTTATCTGGAGCTTAGGCAATCTGTCCTGGCCAGAGGCCCTCCCTTCCTCCCCAACATTCCATAACAGCTTCAGACTCACAGAAATGTGGTTTGGTTTTGTGAATGTGGGACTTGGGAAGATGCATCATTAAAATGGTTATTGCTTATTTCTAAAAAGTGGGGAAGAAAAGCCAAAGGGTTACTATTGCTGCTAAGATGGAAAGAAAAGTTGAGATGCCACCGTGTGGCCTGAGAATATCCCACAGACTGCCCAGGAACCAACAAATCTGTCTGTGGGAAATTGCAACCAGGGTGCTACTTCCAGGCAAGGATGAGGACATCTGGTCTTACATGTTTTGGCACATTGTCTACAAGGAAAGTCCTTGGAAGAAAACGTAATCATGCTGGGAAAGGTGGAGGGGCCTGGAAAGAGAGGGAAACCCTCAACAAGATGGACTGACATCATGACCGCAACAATGTGGACGGTGCATGCAGGGTGGGACAGGGTTCAGATCAGTGGTTCACAGGGTGGCTGTGAGTCGTCTTAAAGGCACCCAGTCACAGCAACATCTGTATAAATAGTAGTGATGTGAGAACACACACGGATTTGTCCCAAAGTACTGACTTGAGTATGACTACCAGAAGGCCTGTCAGGACTCCAGCTCCCTGCTCCTCTGGTGTGTTTATCTCAACAGGAAAGCCTCAGCTCTGTTCTTACAACTGACTGACTGAGTGCATCCACCCAGCTGATTTAGGATAATCTCCACTGCTTATGGATTTGCTTAACCACGTCCAAACACCTATGGTTAGTGTCTGAGTCTAGGTTCTCTAGAGAAACAAAACCAGTGATGCTCCTGTGTGTACATACAGAGATTTCTTACACTCAAGTGGCTCTAGACATGGCAAGTCTACAGTCCAGGAGTGGAATGTCAGGCTGGAGGCCTCTCCTGATTCACGGAGCTGGAGGAGCTGCTGCAGCCGATATAGGCAGGGAAGACAGCAGGCTGCTGGCTCACAGGCTAAAGAGGCTGGTGGATCCCAAGATCTGCGGGACTATCACAGGACTCTGGTTCAAGTCCCCATTAGAGGTCAAGTGGTGGTGAACCTGGTGAGGGACTCAAGGTGAGAAAGAAACTCCCATGAACTTTATCAGAATGTCCATGCCTGTGAGGACACTAACTGATAACTGATGGGCTGAGGACATCACAGGACTGAGGGAGATGAATTACATCATTACATAACTGTGGGTCACAGCCCAGACACGTGACACACAATCTTTATTTATTTTTTAATGGGTTTGCAATGATACACACTCTTAACCATCACATTTGGCAGCTGAAAGACCAGGGTTCCAGCCGAGCGAAGCGTGAGGAGTCTGCCTTACCCGCCCATGCCACCAGTACTCAGCGAATGACCAGCTCACCCTCTCTCCACCAGCCCCCTGCCCTTCCCCTCCACTTCCCACTGACCCTTGATCCTGATCCTGTAACCACCAGTACTCTGACTCTACTAACCTGTAAAAGCAGTGCCTGGGCATTTAGGCTGTGGTGACAATCACAGGGTGAGAAAGGAATCATTTCACAAATACAGTTTAGTGGCATTTAGTACATTCATGGTGTTGTGCAATCATTACTGTATCTAGCACTATTAGATACTATCACCCCAGGTAAACCCGAGCCACTCCCTCTTTCCCCATCATGGTCACTCTGAATCGTTTGGACAATAATATCCTCAGAGGGAGTTTGGACCTATCAAGCGCCCCTCATTTGCTGGGGCTGTTGGCTGGCGCCTCTCGCACGATGTTGGGGCAGTAGTTGGGCTTGGTGGCCTCGGTGAGCTCCCGAGCATACATCTCGTACCTGCCCGTCATCTGAAAGAAGAGCAGACGCACCTGAGGGGCTCTGCTGGTGCAGTGCGTTGCAGTGGCTGACTGGGAGGCCGGCTCTAAGAATACCCCAACAAATCCTCGGGAGAAGAGGAGCTTTCTCCCCCACAAAGCCCCAAGCTCAGGGAGGGGGAGAGGGGCCTTCTCCTTCACAAAGCCCCTCAGCTTTAGGGGGTGGTGGCAGGGAGAGGGGTCTTCTCCCCCACAAAGTCTCTGGCTTGGCAAAAATCAGCTTGAGGGCTGTAGGTCTGGTTTGGGGGACATTAAACACTGGGTGACCAAATATGCATTTGGCTACTGAAAGGTCGGCTAGGTCCAGGGCCTCAGGAGAGAGGCCTGGTCGTCTATTTCTTAAAATCAGCCTCTGAAAACCCTGCGGAGCTCAGATCTCCTGACGTGTGCAGCCGCCGGACTGGAGCAGTTCTGAGGTCTGCTGGTGTGGCCAGGGGAGCTGCAGAGCTAACCCAAAAGCCGTGCCTCTCTAGCAACTCGAATCCACCAGCTTCTCCAAGAGAGAAAGATGGGGCGGAGGACGATCTACAGCCTCAGTAACCACCAAAGGGTCAGCTAGGAGTGGGCGGGCGTGCAGTGGAAGGCAGGGAGGGTGGGCACAGGGTTAAACGTTTAAGAACACACTCCTGTTGAGTCACTACCGCCTGTGACCACTGGAGGGCGTGCTCGGGACAGGAATGCCCTGGACGCTCAGAGACCTAATGGAGGGACCCGCTGTCCCCCTCAGCCAGTGCCCCTCGCACAGCCACCCCTCAGAGCTGATCCCTGTGCTGTCGCTGCAATGACTCAGCCACCACCAGCAGCTGTGTCAGTGATGCAGCCACGCTGGCCGCTAGCTGACTCCACAGAAAGGAAAGGGCACAGGAGGACAGCAGGTGGGTGGGGGGCGCCCCTGCTCAGTCTCAGCATGTCAGGAAACTTTAAAAAACTTTCCAGGGAGAAACTTTCTGTTTAGTGCCTTTCAGTGACTTTAAAAAGCAAGGTCAGGTCCCAGCTGTCCTTAGGTGGGTTCTGGCCAGGGCTCCAGGTGTGGAGAAGGTGCTCCAGGTCTTCCAGAACCAAGCTGCTGGCCTGTCCCCACAAAAGCCCTGGGGAGGTGGGAGCCCCTCCTGTTCAGTCAGCAGGCTGTGCTCAAGAGTCCACGTGCCCACCCTGAGGACCAGTGAGGTGATATGTGCCCCTCACCCCTGGGGGGGACCCGCTGAGACAATGTGTGCCCCTCACCCCTGAGGGCCACTCACCCCTGGGGAGGGACCCACTAAGATAATGTGTGACCCTCACCCCTGGGGGGGACCCACTAAGACAATGTGTGCCACTCACCCCTGGGGGGAACCCGCTGAGATAATGTGTCCCCTCACTCCCGGGGGGAACCTGCTGAGGTAATGGTCCCCTCATCTCCAGGAGACCTGGTGAAGTGAGGTGCCCCCTCCACCCCTGGGAGGACCTATGGAGGTGATGTATCCCCCTCATCCCTAGGGTGACCTGGTGAGGTGATGTGTGGCCCCCACCCTTGGGGGGACCTGGTGAGGTGATGTGTCCCTCCCCCTTGGGTACCTGGTGAGGTGACGTATCCCCCACATCCCTGGGGTGACCTGGTGAGGTGATGTGTCCCTCCCCCTTGGGTACCTGGTGAGGTGACGCCCCCCAGCCCCCTGCTCTGAGCTACAGCATGTGCCCCTGGCCCACCTTCTCCCATAGAAAAGGCTCTAGTGAGAGACCCTGGCTGGGGAAGCCCCTAGGTCTGATGGGAACTGAGACCTCAGAGCTGTCAAGGAACTCGGGTGCCAGGGAGCTGGGCTGGAGGCCAGGCAACCTCAGCACATTCCAGCCACACAAACCTAGCCAGATGGCCTACACCCCTGTTACTCCTGTGTCCATGGTGCCCCAAAACCTGCTCAGCATCTCCCAGACAGGCCTCCCCTGCAGACGGCTGGCGTCCAGTACAATCGGCTACATGTAGACCCATGTCAGGGGGGCTTTCACAGGGGTCCACCCACGGCTTCACTGCTCCTTTCTATGAGGATGGGCACCCTACTCTTCCCTGATATTGAGGATGAAAGGGTGGCTTGGGGACTACATGGAACATGGAGACCAGGGACAGAAAGGCCAAGGTGGGGGCCCAGGGTGAGGTGGTGACCACTGGTGGAAGTGCACATGCACAGTACACATTTTCTCTCTCTCTCACCTCCTGACAAGTTCTGGGGGAGATGAGGTTGATGGGGCCACCCCAGCCAGTGCTCTGGCCCCAAAGCTGAGCTGACTTGTCCAAAGACATGTTTAACGAGCCAAGGGGGCACAGATGCCACCCAGGAGTTGGTGGCCGCAGCTCCTTCCTGACCACCAGCCCTGGACACACCCTTGGAGCTGCTGGGAAGCTAAGTGGGTCCTGGTTCCAGCCCTGGAGAGAGCCAGGGCCAGGCAGTCACTGTGGTCACCCACCTTGAAGTTCCAGACATCGTTCATCTGCCGGCATAGGTTGAGATCCAACTCGGCCACCAGCAGCCCGTCCCGGTTCCGGGAGAGCCCAGGGGTCCGGCTGCTGTCCGGGGCCGCCACGTAGCTGGAGCCATAGAAGAAGCCAAAGTCCCGATGTGCTAAAAAGAGACAAAGCGGGTGTCTGGGCCCCAAGAGCGCATGCCCCGTCCCCAGGTCCCAAGGCCCAGCCCCTAGCAGCAGGAAGGCCCAGTGAGGCTACCAGAACCGCCCTCCACCCCCACTCCTCTTTTCCCCAGACTTTCAAAGACCACTATGCAGAGGTGCTGGTCCTGGGCTCCCACACCCTCTGACTACTGGGTGCTATGCAGCTATATGGGCACAAAACGAGTTGGAACCTTCAAGTCTGCACTTGGCCCTGAACGTATTCCGCCTCTCCTAGGTTTAGGGAGCTCGGGGGCCTTGATGATAAGAAGGTGTGCTGCAATCACAGAGGCACGTGGTTCAAACCCAGCAGCTGCTCCTTGGGAGGATGGACCATCTCCTCCTGGAAACCTGCTGGAGGGTCAGCTATGGGTTTGGTTCTGACTCAAGGGCACACAACTCCCAGGTCTGGGGTACTCTGGCCAAGGTCACTAGCCTCGGTGTTCAGGGCAGGAGACCCCTCACTGTCCAGCCCGGGGCAAGAAGGTGGGACTTCTTGGCAGCCACAGGGAAGCACTGTCCTCAAGTCAGAGCCTTGACTCCAGGGACCCAAGTGATCTCTGCTGGTGCTCTGGACACACAGAGCTATGGGCGGGGCTGGTGCTGTTAGGTACTGTCTCACGCTGAGTACAGCTCACAGAGACCCTATGACTAACAGATCTGCACTGTCCTATCCTGCACCGCCCTCATCTCTGACACATTGCTGCAGTCACTCTTGGTACACCTGGCCCAGGGTTCACCTCTCCTCCATATCGCTCTCCAAGGAATAGCTTCTCCTAGATACATGCCCAAAGTGAGACGAAGCTTCTCCATCTTTGCCTCCAAGCAGCACTCTGGCTGCGCCTTCTCCAAGATGTATGTTTGTGCTTTTGGCACTCTTCTTTAACACCAAAGCTCAAAGGTATCAATTCTTCCGTCATCATTAGTCACTGTCCAGCTCTCAGATGCACAGCAAATAACTGAACAGAAACTCTGGGGTGGACACAGGTTGGAGGAAAGCCTCCACCAAGGAGCTCCCCAACAACCTACTCCTTCCACCTCGGCTCATCATAACTCCTGGGGGGGGCTGGCATCCGATCTGGGATAAGGTGGTCAGGACTGTCCCCTACTGCCACCACCAGCCCACCTGCTTCAAGCCAGAGGCCATGATGGCCGGCTACAACGTCACCAGGCAGAGAAGGGTCAAGGTCCCTGCCTCAGCCAATCAGTGACCATGGAAACATCCAGAATGTACCTCTCTTCCCGTCTCCGGATGTGAACTCATTTGGGAAGTGCTCCTGCAACAGAAAACCAAGGTCAGAGAGCTGAAGACCTCACAGGAGATGCTTAGTTCCCAGAAGCTGGAGGCCACCCCTGCTGACCTAGGGCAGCCCTATGAGGCCTGTCCTGGCACCAGGGGACACAGCTGCTCACTGGGATGGGGGACGTCAGGGGACACAGCTGCTCACCAGGATGGGAGTCTGTGCAGTTGTAAGGTGCCAACCAGGATTCACAGCAACCTGTGAGCAACAGGTCAGCACCTCACCCTGTCCTGGGTCATCCACACCATCTCTGCCTTCATACCCATGCTGTGGCCACGCAGTCTGTCCCGTGTGAGCGTGAGGGCCTGCAGGTGGCACAAACGCTTGGCAGCCTTTGTCCTTGGCCCAGAGGGCCTAACAGAGGGCTAAGTGGATGTTAAGGCCATGTCTGAGGGTCCAGGCTGGATTCAGCCACTGGAGTGGACTTCAGATACAGGCTCTGGACCTGAGGTTGGAGAGGGGCCAGGTCCCTGGCATGGGGACCCCGTGCTTCACTGTGTCCTGTCCAGTGAGACTGATTTTGTGGTTCAGTCAGGGATGCATTCCAAATTCCCTGGGCACCTACAGCGGGAGTGGGGCCACCTTGATCCAGGGTGCAGCGGAGACTCCACCTTGTGGCCACATACTGAGGACACAGTGAGGACCAGACTCTGTGTTCCCAGATGTGTGGCTGTCATGTGTCCGTGTAAGAGACTCAAGGACAAGGTCCTTTCAACCCGTGAGCTGGGATCTGGGTCTGGGTGGCTGGTTCAGATGGCCGTGAAGACCGAGTAAGGTTGGGGACTAATCCAGCCACATCAGGGGTAGATCCACACCGCACTCGCTGCAGGGGAATGTGCCCCTTAACAAACATGTTTGGCAGGATCAGTTCACTGCCAGGACCCCAGGTGTGTAGAGGAGGGACAGCAGTGGGAACAGAGGTCCCCCTCCACGTGTCTACCCTGGATGTGTCTCATCGCAGGCCTGGTTGCCCTCCTTCAGGCCCTGCGCGGGTCGGAGGTGGCCCACGTCCTCTAAGCATGGCTTTGTCCACCTTGGGCTCAGTGTGGAGGGCTCACCTCACCGACGCGGTTGATGGCACAGGTAAAGTAGTGGTTGGCGATGGCTGCATTTCTGGCTTCAATGGGCCACAAGGACTCACTGTGAAGAAGAAGTAGGAGCCAGGTTACCAACCTCCTGCCAGTGCAAGGGGGGACAGCAAGGGACTGAGCAGACCTGCAGGGGTCAGAAAGACAGCAGCTCCCTGATGAAGCACTGTCAGGCCCAGCCATGCAGGACCCTAGGGACATGACAACCTGCAGAATCACACAACCATTAAGTCCTTGGAGACACACTAGCTTGCAGAAACACACAGCCATGCACGGGCCCTGGGGACAAGCCAGCCTGAAGAGACACAGACACACTCAGACCCTTGGGGACACGCCAGCCTGCAGAGCTACACAGACACATTCAGGCCCCCTGGGATAGGCTAGAGTGTGGAGCCACACAGGTACTCTTGGGCCCCAGGCTCCATGTGGAGCTGGGCCATCCTGTGTGGTCATCCTGACGCAGGGACACACCCTCCATGCAGAGGACTGCTTCCCAGTGAGCACCAGCTGTGACCCCGCGGAGAGGCACCAGCCTGTCCCTCCAGAAGCCTCTGGGTGGGGCCCATCCATAATCTTTCCACCAGCTGATGAGCAACTAACTAATCATTTGCTCTCCAAGAACTGTGCCTAGAACAGTGGGACCCTAATATCACGATGACAGCTGTCCAGACCACAGATGAGTGTGAGTGAGGGGGCTGAGAAAAGATGGGGTCTGATATAGAGAGAGGTTCTGACACAGAAAGGGGGCTCAACATAAAGGGGGGGCTGATACAAAGGGGAGCCGGAACAAGTAGGGGTCTGATATATAAACAGAGAAGGATCTGATATATAAACTGAGGTCCCTTACACAGGGAGAGTTTCTGACACAGGGTAGAAGCGGTATCCATGAAGGGGGAGAGTTAATGGCTTCTGGCTGTTGGATAGAGACTGCGGGATTGGCAGTGGTGGACCTGGTCAGGACTTCTCCGTTCATACTGATCATTTTAAGGGACACTCCCCCAGGCCTCCACCATGCTGTTATTCTAAAACCCTGACCATCCCAGCTGGGGCATGGGACCTGCCTGGGGAGGGTGCTCAGCAGCCTATGGCCATTCCCACCACATTGTCCTGACCACATGCCCCTCAGTGACTGTGCCTGGGAGAAATGCAGGCCTTCAGGAAACCTTAGGAGCATACTAGGTGGTGACTTTGGGGCTTACGCACTGGGACCTGGTCCCCTGGCCAGAGGCCATCTGTGTTTTCAGAGCCCAGGCAGCACCCTGCTCCCGTGGGCAGTACACATGGGCGGCTGGCCCAGGTGGGTCTTGGCCGTGGAAGGCAGATGAATCATTCTTAACAGCCTGGCTGTGACAGGAGCACTTAGTGTTACATTACATCAGTAGCTGCTGCTGGCTTAAGTGGGGCTGACAAAAGCTCTGGGGAGATGGCCAGGGAGGGCTCTGCCCACAGCTGCCCACCATGGCCCGTGCCTGCAGGAAGATGGGCTCACAGCCAACAGAGGGTGGCTCCGGGTACAGAAGTCTGTAGGGCTGGGGGTTGGTGACCTCGACGGCTGCAGCGCTGTCCCACAGAATGAGGTCTCAATGGCCCACTGGAGGAAACTCCAGCAATGTGGCTTCCTCTGCTGTCCTGCAGGCCTGGAACAAGCAGCCAGGTGGCTGGACAGAGCCACAGGCCCGGGGGACAGAGGAAGGTGTGTGGAGGAAGTGGGGGCCGTGCCCACCAGGAAGGTAGCCTGGAACCATCCCATAACTGGAAATTCAGAGGAAATGCAGTTGAAAGTCAGACAGCAGGATTTACAGAGGAGGCAGCGTGAGCGTTCCCTCGCCTGCACCAGTGGCCACGTCTACATTCTGAGAGGAACCGGGGTGGGAACAGCTCTGGGGTGGGTCAGGAGCAGTGCTGTCCAGAACTGACAGCTCCTGCTGTACCCCATCTTCTCTGTCCAGAACAAAGAGAAGGAAGAAAAGGAAAGACATATAAGCAATTAGTCCACAGGACTGATGGGCAGGTGACCCTCACCCCACAGCCCTGACACCAGGACAACAGGTGGTACCTCTAGCATGTCCACTGTGCTAACGTGGGCCATAGTCCAAGAGCTTGGGGTGGGCGGGGGAGCACATAGGGCAGAACTAAAACCAAAACTGCCTGAATGATTTATCCCTAAGACTATGGCCATAGGCATATTCCACCAACAGCTCCACCCACAGGAGGATGGGTAAACTCCTCCCAAGTGATTTACTGTCTCCAGAAACCTGCTGAGTGAGGGTCCATCTGGATGGCAATGAGAGGGAGTGAGGGGCTCATCTTCCAGCCAAACTGTAAGTAAGTCTATCAGGTGCCTGATAACACCAGGGCCAAAGGGCAGCATCTGCCCAGGGCTGGAGCCTAGAAGACCAGAAGAGACAAGCTCACAGGGTGAAGGAAGGTCACGGCCACGGCCACAGGGAGGCCGGGGAGGAATGGGTTAGCTGGTGGGACTGTGACTGACGCCGTGAAAAGTGTACGAATGGATGAGTGGGGAACCAACTTATTTTCTAAACTTCCACTCAGAGTACAAACTTTTTATAAAGTGTACAAGGGCTTGAATAAGGCAGAATGTTGCCTATAAAGAAGTAAATATATAACAAGGAGCTCTGAAATGGTACAACCATTCTGGAAGGCAGTTTGGTGTTTCCTCTAAAAGCTGAACAGAGAAATCTCATATGCTAGGAATATACCCTGAGGACTGAAGACACAAATGGAAGTTTGTACACCGATGTTCAAAGCAGTATTATTCACAATAGCAAGAAAATAAAAACAGCCTAAAAGTCCATCAGCAAATAAATGGATTGAGAAATTGTGCACTCACATGATGAAATACTATGCAGCACACAGGAACAATGATTTTTTTTTTTAAAAAAATAATACTATATAGCATGGGAGAGTCTGGAGAGCATTGTTCTGAGTATAAAAACTGTCTCATAAGGACAAACACTGCAGACCGTTATTATAAAAATAGAAGAATAACTAGTAAGATGTGTACCAAAGTTCAAAGGAAGAAGAGGAGGAAGGAGGGGGCTGAAGGTGAGGAGAGGAGGGAGCCTCAAGGTCGCAGAGTTAGGGGGGCAGAAGGAGGTGGTGAAAGAATTGGGAAAGATCCAATGGGGACCTGAAAATGTGTGGTGATGGCGGAAATGGATCAATGGTGATTAATTTTATAAAACACAATATATAAGAATGATCAGATGAACCATAATGTGGATAGAGGAATGTGTGAAACACAATGTATATAAACAAAACACAATGTATAGGAATTCTCAACAGCGTTCAGAATGTAGCTGACGCTGGGGTCTCTTAGGGGGTGCCTCTAGGTGGGCTTGGTGCCCATTCTAGGCCTTGTTCTTGTGGAGCACTTGGTTAAGCAGACCCCCAGTGGTTCCCCCAGCCCTGGCATCCCCCACAGCCTGCCCACAGACCTCTGTGGCCAGTGACCTGAGCATGCCGATGGTGGCTGACGGATTGAAGACGATCTCAGCCCCGTTGATGCCATACATGAGCCAGTTGAGAGGGTGGTGGCGCCCGTAGCAGATGTTCACCGCTATCCTGCCGAAGCGTGTCTCAAACACGGGGTGGCCCAGGTTGCCCTCCATGTAGTAAGTGGACTGGAAGACAGAGACCAAGGATCAGGCCCCGGCCCACGTGGACACGACAGACATGACTGCAGGGTCCCCCAGGAGGCCCCATCAGAGCTCAGAGTTTGTGCATCTATCCTCTGACACAATCTGCCCGTGGCCTTAGCTGTGGTTGTGTCTATCCCGACTCTTCATGAAGGGAGCCCTCAGGGTACCTCACGGGGAATGAACGTTAGGGGTCAGCCTTGGGGCTGCCGAGCCAGGGTCTGCTCAGTGCTCACATCACCTGCCATTCAGTATGCCTCTGGAGGGCCAGAGCTGACCAGCCTCCGCTGGAACAGCCCCATCCCTGTCCTGAGGGAAGGACAGAGCTGAGAGGCAGCAGGGTCATTTGGATGAGGACATATGTGAGCCTCCAGCTCACGTCTAGCAGTGTTTGTCCCCTAAGCTCTGGGTGGTCTGCAGGTCAGGAAGCTAGGATGGGAGGAACCACTCCACCTCTCCGTATGCCCCTCAGAACAGAGCAGGGTGACAGGCAAGCAGAGGTCTCCACTCAGTTCAGCACCCACAACATGCCTTTTCCCAATGACTCCAAAATAGCAGGAGCTAGGCAGCAGTGGATGTTTACACGAGGAGGGCACAGGGTCCGGGACAGTCAACACAGGACGTGCACACGAGGAGGGCACAGGGTC